TGCTCTCCAGTCTTTCGAAGCAAAGTGGATGGCTAGCTACCGAGGTCAATATGGTGAACAAAAGGTCCCCAGAAAATGAAATAGGCAAACTAAGCAAAAGTGAAATTGACAAATAACTTCCATTCAAGAACATGTCAAAAAAATGAAAACTAACCAACGACAGCTTACGTTTGTCAAACTGCAATTGTTGCAAGAATGGCCTTTCTGCATTGCTGTACAACAGTGCACAAGAAGAAAGGTCAAACAGTCCATTGACAATTGCACTTTATGACACAGTACCCAGTGACTGTCTCTTTCATCTTGCACTCAGCGAATACTGCATGAAAAAAAAAGGAAAACAGGCAAGCATTTTAGGGAAAAAAAACCAATAAACCTGCTTGAAAAACAAAATGAAATATAAAAACTAACTTGAGGGAGAAATCCCAAACTCTGCCGGTTAGCGGTTCATGACAGGACACCTACAAAGAGGAGATTGGTCGCCAGCCAAAGACAGAGCCGATGTAGGCATCCAATTGACGGGTCGCCAGTCAATTTCAAGGCACGGATTGACTTCAAATCAAATGCTCGCCAGTCAAACCACAGTGCTGCCGCACAAAAATAATGAAAACAATTCATAATGACTATTTTCATCATCACCATGAATATAAGAATGATTATTATTAGCAGTCGTACTTGTTGCAGTAGCACTAGTAGTCAGTTTGTTGGTAATCACATGGCCGTGGAAGTAGAACGTCAGCTGATGTGGCTTCACAAATTGAGAAAATCAAATCCGATGTTGTGGCAGCATCGCCGCGTTGGAATACTTATCAGGCTGCGACAATTGCTTTCGACACAGAGGGACACGGTCAGGACGTGTGGGGTGTTAAACTTGACGCTCTTGATGAAAAAGGGCCTCTTCACTTCAAATTTGCTCCTTTAGCCATGTGAGTTGCTTGGTGGTTGCTAAGTGACGGCCACGAGCGACGACGGTCCGATCGGGATTGCGCTTGGGGCTGCGTTACCCCCCCCCACCCCCGTCATGCGTCTGGTGTGGGCGACTCATCTGCATCCCACTCGGCTTTGAATGACTCTCTGTGTGCGCGCTTTGTATTCATCTCATCGCCCGACTGCTCTGTTAATGTCGTGTGTGTGTGTGTCTGTCTGTGTGTGTGCGTCCTTGTGTGTGTGTTTCTGTGTGTGGGCGGGCTTGGAGTGTGAACAGTGCTTATTACATCCACCTTATCTTCCCGGGCCGGGCCAGGTGCTATCGCTGTCACGTGTTCATTTGCTTGTTGTTTCAGAGGAGAGCAGCGAATTGAAATCAGCTGTATGTGTGCAATATACATCGCGCCGCGCTATCTGTGTTTACCAGACCGGGGGAGGCGATGGGAAAGATTTCAGCCGCAAGATGTATGATTTGGGGTTTCTTCAGAGCATCAGGGCATGACCTGTGATTTTTTTTTTGGGGGGGGGGGGGATTTGGTGTTTGTTTGTTTTGTTGGGGGGGGGGGGTGATTTGGTGTTTGTGCGCGAGTGAGTGAGTGAGTGAGTGAGTAAGTGAGTGAGTGAGTGCGAGCGAGCAAGCAAGCGAGCAAGAGTGTGTGGACTGTGTGTATGTGTGTGCAAGAGAGAGTGAGAGAGAAAGAGGGAGAGAAAGTAAGAATGTGTGTGAATGTGTTCTTAAGAGCATGTGAGTGCATGTGTGTGGGAGATTTGTGTTGATGACGTGAGCCCCTTTTGAGCGCCAAAAGATCACCTTTGCATGATTAAACGGGAGAGAGAGGAGGTGCAATGGGAGAAAGTGCTATTCCAACGAGGTGTAAACGATTCCCCTCATTTGGTTTGAAATGAGCTTTATTTGTTTTTGTACAAGGTTTGTCGAGAAGCTAACGAGGGCGACTACAAAAAACATCCCGTCTTTAATTGAAACAATCCATTGTGCACTGATCAATCAGAAATAATAAAATGGTCGGTGGGTTATTACCTTTTCATGATTTCAAGCTCGGCTGTGGAGAAGAGAGGAGTCCCGCAAGGAATCGGATTAAACACGAGCCCAGTTGTTGGAAATGTTTTTAAATCACGCTTTAGGGGATGGGTTTTTTTTCTTTTTTCCCTTCTTCTTTTCATTCATGTATTTTTTAACTGAAATTGGAAAGTTTTTTTTTTTGTTTTTGTTTGGTGTTGTTGGCAGAGCTTCATGAGATATATTGAGTTTGATTTATGTTGTCTTTTAAGTGGTAAATTAAAAAAAGAATAACCAACCGCAAAAAGACCAAAGGCGTTCCATAAATGACATCTTACAACTCCCAACGCTTTTCATGTTGTTTTCAATGAAAGCGCTGAAAGCCTTATCTTAGACATAAAAAAGAATATAGATTCATGAAAGACAGATTTTGAACAGGTTACAATTTCAAGTAGCATGTTAGAACAAAGTCAAACAATTTGTTGCGGGAACGCATGTCCACTGAACGAGTTCCCCCGTAGGAAGTCGGAGAAAATGAATTGGAAGCAGAAACAGTTACAAGCATTACATTTTAAACAAGTTATTTTTTTTTTGACTAACATTCTTGGTGGAAGAAGAAGAAGTCGGATCAGATTTTGTGTATGTTTCTAGGTCCATCTTTGGTGGATTCTGATTGGTGTCATTTTCGGCGCAACTTTCTGATGAAAAATTTTCCTGAAAATTTTGGCTAATTTCTCAATTTTGTTGGATTTTATTTTGTAAAAAAAAGAATTGGGAAACATTTTGGGGGGAATTTCTGGGTGCGTCCTTGATGTTGATTTTTTTGAGGAATATCTTTCCAGAATTTTATTTGAGTCAAATTACAGTGTGAATGTCTGTGAGCAATGAAAGTTTTGGTCAAATTCAGTCTATTTCGGTTAAATTCAACATTTTTTAGGGAATATCATAGAGGTAATGTATTCTGAAAATCTGGGCAAGATTTTTGCTGAAAATCGGGCACGTTCTGATTTGTTATGCATTTTGAGAGGCACATTGTTGCCAAATATGTGGCTCATATTTCACATCTTTGAAGTCCAATTTTAGATCCTTATGCAACAAGGGCTAACTTTGACCAGAATGTTTAATTCAGAACTTTGAATGCATGTTTTCCTCTTAAAATGGGGTTGAATTATGGATTTGTTTTTGCAATTTGAGAGGCATATTGCACCCCAAAATTTGGGTCAAGTTACACATTTTTGTGTAACTTAGGGAACCTTTCCAGGAAACTGCAATCTTCATGTACTGTAACTTTAAAGACAACTTTTCCCTAAAATATTCAATCGAAATGGCTTTTAATTCATTGTTAAGAAGAAGCATATTTTTCAGATTTTTAATCTGACTGTTTTTGTCCAATTAGAGAGGTGTTTATTTTCATTTTTTTCTCCCGAAAAAATTTTGTTGAATTCCACATCTTTCCAACTTCATATTGCTGGCGTCGAGCCGAAACCACCGATGTTACAATTTGATACATTTCACCTTTCTTCACAAAAATCTACTGTTGGTCACTCCACATATGTGGCTTTTATTTGGACAAATGTTTGACCGATCCAAAGTGTTAAAAATGGCTGGGTTTTTTTTTGTTTTTTTTTTGACAATGCAATGTTAATGGGAGAACAAAAATGCAGGTTTTGGGGTCTCCTGAAGAGCGATGATCTTGGAGATACGAGGATTGCGTCCAACGCTAGTGATATACATCATGGGCATCCTGAATCGTACGAGCTCTGGGACATTTGCGAGACTTCACGAAAAAAATGAACGTTTTAACTTTGTTTTTTTTCCCCTCTAGCGTACCCAATGAAGCGGCCCTTCAGCATATGTTCCCGCAAATAACCAGAAAGCCTGGAGGGAGTACAACTGAGATCAACAACATTAGCGCTTGCCGTATCTTATGCAGATGATGCCACGTACGGACGCGAATGAGCCGGCTGCCTTTGAACTGCGGGGGTCAAATATTCAAGCCACAAACCAATAATAAGACTGGCAGATTGCTGGCGCCTAAGAGGAAGTCTATTAAGCTCGTAGATTGTCGGAGGCGTGACCCGCGCTTGGCGCGCACACTCGAGGAATCTGCATGCCGTCTATTTCCATTTCAACTTTGACCCCTCCCGGCGGTCTCGCTCCCCGCCGTCTTGGTCTTCTAAGGCGGCCTCTTCAGT